ATGACCTTGACTTCTGTATAAAGAATGTATACTTTCTCTTCTGTAGACCGATTCAAGCACTCAACACCTGAAGTGTTGGCAAGTGTAAGAATGTGTGTTACCCTTCGAGGTTGGCTGAGATAAGGTGGGAACTTGTAGGGTTCGCCGTTGGGTCTTCCAGGCCCCCTGCCCTTTTGGGACTTACTTGGCTGTTGCTTCTCTGGCTGCCAGGGAACAGCGAAGGGAAGCCTCCTGGGAAATGAAGCAAGTTGGAGATAGTGTTTGGCAGAACAGGGGACTCTATAATTAGTTCATTCCAGAGCTGCTAACCTAAACCAGAGTCTAGCCTTGCCGTGGATTTGAGAAAGCCCTCGGAATGTACTTACTGAGTTTGTTTTGTCACGCACCTTCAGAAAACATTGACGGCAGCTGCAGTCTCTTGCTGTCATTCTTGTTTTCTCTACTTGTTAAGAGCGAGGCCTGTGGATCCCAGGAACTCGTGGATTTTGGAAGCAGGGATGGATTACTCGGTAAGCAAGGTAAGCAGGGACTTCTGACCTTACTCATCTGTAGTGAACAACTTCACCTGTGAACGTACTGTGCATGGTGGGTACCCCACCCCTGTCTGGGGGTGTAAATTGGAAAAGAGGCTTTGATTCTGTAGGAAGGTGCTGTGGTATTGGGACTGAGACAGATGCCAGACAACTAGAAGCAGTACCTTTATTGGGGGGAAAAAAGGAAGATGGTTCACTACAGATTAGTAAGTAAACACAAGTAAAGTCCATGCTTACCTTGTTTGTCGGGTAATCTGACCCTGGATTGGAAGACCTGAGACTGCCTTTGGCTCTTAAAACTAGCAAACTACCAAACCCCGGTAATCTCAGGAGTGGAAATCTCCCTTGAACTGAGCAGTATGACAAGGGTACCAAGAAGCCTTTCTTCCCATTTGTCAACTTAGCATCTGAGCTTTCCAGATTAACCTGCTACTTAATTGCTAGTCGATTTTATTTTGGTTGTTAGGGCAAAGTAGGCTTCTCATGTGGAGGAACTGACCCCTGCCACTTTGCTTCTCAAGGACAGGTACAGTTTCACTTTTCTAAGAAGTTTTCTTGTGCTCTTTGTTTTTTGTTTTCTAATATATATCATATCTATATAATATGTTAGATTAATATATATGCATGCTATATCATGTTATCCCAATATATAATATATACTAATATAATATATTAACATAGCATATATTATGTTGATACACACACACAATCCTTTCTGGGAAACTCAAATGCTAGTCATTGTTCCTGTGTTCCAGCTTACTGGCAGGTAACTTAAATGAACACTTGAGTTGTTGGGACAAACTGATTAAGAAGTTATATGACTTATTTATTCAAGTGAAGTAATGCAGGGGGACTTTAAAAAGTTTGTGGAAAAGTGTAATGAAAAGGTAGTGGGATTTTTGTGTGAGCTTTTTTGAAAGCGCCCTCATACTAAGCAAGGGCCTTCATTTTAGCTGTTACATCACTACTCGTTTTGTGATCTTAAAGGCTGCCCGTTCACAGATGATCTGGGTTTGGCTTTGGACTAAGAATTAGGCCAGCAGTTCACGAATGGGTTCCTGAAGTCATGTGATTTAGCCAACCCTGGCTAAAAAGAGTTATTCCTTGTACTGTTGAGATGATCACCCTAAGTGAGGATATTTGATAATTTCCAACCCAAGGTGTTTCTAGATTACTTCTAGCCTTTTCAAGACAAGAAATTGCAGTTCCTTCATTGCACCCGCACTGTTTCCACTTCCTCCCCGCAGTCCCCGTTTCTATTTGCCCTTTCCTGCCTCTTTCTGCCTTCTGAACTTTGTTTTTGGGGAGCATTCATGTGACCTTTTGGTCTCATGGTTGATTGTTCTGGTGCACATGTTCCTTGGAGTGTTACTGTTAACTTTATAGGCATTTGTATTAATTGTCTGAATGTTATCTCCAGGAGTGAGTGTAGTTCTGAGGTTTGAGGGTGTTTAAAGACCACAGTTTCATCAGTCTCCTGACAGACCAATAAATTGGTCTTTTCTATGATTTTATATTTTGTTATACTTTTCTTACTCTGTCTAAGAACTCCTATTGTGACTTGGCTCAGAGCAGCCCTTAGTGGTTGCCAGATACCATCTAGTTCTGGTTTTAGGCTAGTAGAGACTGATTTGCTTGCATGGTTTACGTCGTTGGATTACAATTGATCCTTCAGCAGCATGGAGTGTTGCAGGCCCACTTATACACCGACATTTTTCTTTTGGCTACTATAGCGAGCTCTGGTGATGCAAATATCTGCTTAAAATGCTACGACACTAATCATCTCCATGTGTGTGCTGGTGTTTAAGCAGATACTCAAAACACTTCAGTTGACCACATCGCCAGGGGGGAAAAAAAAATCCTCTTAAGCCTATGGTGCTCAATGGTCAGCTGTAAGTTTCATGCACATTTTCAATTGTGGGAGCTTGGCTCTCCCACCCTCTACATTGTTCAAGGGTTAGCTGGGGTTGTTTCCTTTAGTCTTATTTTCTTCACTCTTTGCAGAAAGATCAATACTTGTATCTTAGATGGCCATTTGCAAGCTCAAAACTTTTAAAGGCAAAAGCACAATTAACTTCTGGTTAGTGTGCCTTGCCTTTGGTTCTCAGTCTGTCCAAAGTACTGTCAGTGGGCAGCCGTGAAGTACTGTAGTCAGTCAGCAAGGAAGACTGGTGTTCTGGTTCTTATAATTCAAGTGGGCAGCAGACAGAAAACTAGACTCAAAACCACACCACCTTTTATTTTGTCCCAGCGTTTTTTGTAGTTCTGTAGAGTTCAAGTAGGATGTGAATTTGTTTTTAACTGTAGGGAACTTAGTACAAGCTCTTTCTTAGGATCGAAATAGATTTCATTTGCTTCCCCTCTACTGCCCAAACCCTTTAGAGTCCCTGCATTTCTTTTTAACAGGCTGCTGATTTTAAAGGTTTCTAATTCAGGTTTCTTGTGGCTTTCGATTACTGAGGGTGAATGTTTGTTCTGCCGATTTCCAGAATCTAATTTCTAATTCAGATTTAACAGAAGGGAGGCTGAGATCTAGAAACTTAAATTTTTTCAAGTACTTGACTTGACTAATGGCCATTGCTTGGTGGCCCAAAATCACTGTTGAGCCAGGTTCTGACCTTTTGGCAACTTAACTGGATGCAATTCTGCACAACTGTTGAGTGTTTTGGGTGGGGGTGG